GCAGTGATTGTGTCGCTTAAAAGGGACACTTGGATTGATATTCAGTAGCTTCTTACAATGAAATAAACGAAAAGGAAAAATATGGCTAAAACAGTAAAAGAAAAGAACTCAGGATGATCTTCGAGGGTCAGCTCCTCCCCACAATTCCCAGCAATATTCTCAATGACTATCCCCTCTGTTGGTTCTCCTTTTATTCCTTTTTTTCGTCACGCTTGCTGTGTTGTTGTTCCACCTGTCAAACAAACTCATTCACGCTTGTTGTGCTGCTACCTTACTGGTTATGCTGCTGCTCCAGCTGTCCTGTATGACTTTTCCTTCTTTGCCTCTTACGGTTATACCACTTGACTATTGGTGGTCCATCACATTGCATTGGATTTAGTTCAAGATTGGAGAATTTTTATAATCCAATATATAATTGAATTGGATTTGATTTGGAAACTTCATTTTTTTTTTTAACTGGAGCTCTTGTAATCTTATGTGGATCATAAAGTGTACTAGACAGTGCATTATTATTAGCACATCTTTCATGGTTTCATATAAAAAATAAACAATGTACTTGATGGTGTAGTGATTGGGTCAGTCAAAAGCATTTTACTAAACTGAAAATCTGACTAATGCAGAGATTATTTTATCTTTATCATTACTTGTTCAAGAAAACAAAGTCACCGTCTCACATTCACTAACTAGGCTTTTTTGCTCCTCGTTTATAGAAACAAAGGGTACTGTTTGAACTTCATCAAAATAGCTGCATTCTTTTTATTTTATTTTTTGTTACTCTTCTGTTTAATGACTATAATAAAATTTTAAGAGTTTTTGATCTTAAGAATTGAAGTTAAATTCCTTACTGTATTGTTTCCATCCATTTTCTATACTAACCAATTGGATAAACTTAACTCTAATCATCTGTTTATGGTTTTCTGTTTTTATCAGAGAGAAGTCAAAACTCCGGGAAGACATAGTAGGTCATAGGCAAAAGAAACTTCTAATGAGACGTGACCGTCAAAAATATCTAGAGGAGGCAGCTTTACGGGAGGCTGAACTTCTGCAAGAACTTGATAGGTTTGTGCTGTGCAATTAGTTTTGTTCTTTATGAAATGGATATTAAATATTGTAAGAGCTCATTAAGAGATATCAGTTGCCAACTGCCCTGTTATGTAATTAGGGAGAGGACTGCTGAGGTAGAAAAAGAGATTGAGAGGCAACGATTGCTAGAACTTGAGCGTGCAAAGTCGAGGGAGCTGCGCCACAACCTTGATATGGAGAAGGAGAGGCAAACACAGGCAAGACCTTTCTCAACTCTTTCGTTTTCATACTTTTAGATCTTCCATGAGCTTGGTTTACTTCTCATACATTTTTGCCCCGCATATTGTTAGTTATGGCTAGTTACAGTTCTAGAATCCAGTGGACAATGTATTGTGATGGACTTCTGGTGAAATGTTTTAGTTGCTCTGAAAGTACATACCTATTTGTTGTTGAAACTGAGTATCGAGTTTTGAAGATATTTCATGTGATTATCACGCGTGTAATATTGTTTAGATTTGCTCTTGAAAAAGATGACTTTAAACAAACTTATGTTCTTATCTTTTTCCCTTTTCACAAGTACTTTTACCATATGCACAGTGGCGCACCTCCCTTAGTGCCTGGGGTGGTCAGGGCCGCCCCAAAATTTTTAAAAATTTTGGGTTTTTAATGTAAATAAGTATATTTTTAGTTGAATTACATTTTGGCCTTTCTAGATTTTGTTTGCAATTTGTATACCCAAACATTTTGAGTATTTCATTTAGATTACATCACATTAAATTTATAAAATATTCTTATTATTAGAGAGGGACAAATATAAAATATTCTGATTGTTAGAAAGGGACATTGTTTAATTATTACTTATTTTTTTCTTTCACCATTTTAAGTAATTTATCAATTGACATAAAAGGCGAATGAAATTTTCTTTTCTTGATTCTTATACTTTCTTTGTTCGTCTCTATCCTTTGTCAATTCAACAATTCCTTTCTTGTAAATTTTAGTTATAGTTAGTTTATAAAATTATAAAAGATTGAAAAAAAAAACAGTAAAATAAGACAAAAAAGGGTATTTTATAATCCATAAGTTTGAGAAATAGTTTGAAAATGTCAACTCTTGGAACGCATTATGTTTGAAATTCAATAATTGTTTATGATGGCAATCCACTTGAGAAATATTATATTTAATAAGAATTTAGAAATACGTTTTGTCAAAGAAAAGAGGAAAAAGAATTTGTAACACATTGTATTTTGAGCATAAAAAATTGTAAGCACAAAAGGAGAATAAAATTTTGGCATCAATAGAAAAATATTTTGAAAATCAAGGGTGCACAACTGCTTCCCCTCGGCCCTTGCTGGCTTCACCTATAAGGATCGGCCCCCTCAAAATTGAAATCGTATTCATATATCCTTATTTCTTTTGTTTAGAACTAACAGGTAATTCTTGTTTTGTAGATGTCACTGTAGTTTGATTTGTAGGATTCACGGATACTGCACAGTAGAACATAAGATACTAATTGAGCTAGACGGATTATGGTTGTGGTATTATATCTTTCTTTTTTTGGTGTCTTTATGTTCACACGTTCTTTTCGGTAAAGAATAGGCATTAAATATTGCTTGACATTCTGTTCGGCTTCCAAGAGCATGGTCATATGATTTAGAACTTATATTTACCATTACTCATCTTCTTGACATCAAAATGGAGCTAACAGTGGCGGGTATTTAATATTTGCTATAGACGGCCATCATCATAAGCTTGAACTAATGATCCAATAATCTCCTGTTTTCTTGGTTTATTGGACCGTGTTTAAGAAATAAAATGTTTTTTTTTTTTTTTTTTTTGGGTATGTAGAGAGAACTTCAGCGGGAACTAGAGCAGGCTGAATCTGGACTACGATCTTCACGGCGTGACTTTTCTTCCTCTCATAGTAGGTAAGGTTCTTTATATTGTTTGCCCAGTTGTCCTTTTTCATTTTTTGAAGTTTTTTATCCAGTCCAGTCATGGTATTTTACTTTAAGCAATATATTAGACATATCAGGCCGGTGAAAGTAAATTGTGGTTCACATCAATTTTCATATAGTATTGGCTTAGGATGTGTTTTGATATATTCATTTGCAGTCGGTCTCGGGATAGGTATCGTGAAAGGGAAAATGGAAGATCAGGTGCTGAAATTTCTGGCAGTAATTCATCCATGGGAGCTACGCCGACCATTGTTCTTTCTGGATCTAGATCATTTGTAGGGCAGCCTCCGACTATTCTACAATCGAGAGATCGTTCAGATGACTGTGGGAGCAGTTATGAAGAAAATTTCGATGGAAGCAAGGACTTGGGGGACACAGGTAGTATTGGGGACCCAGAATCAATATCCGCATTTGATGGACAGTCTGGTGGGTTTGGGTCAGGTCAGAGGCATGGATCAAGAGGGATCAAGTCTTCAAGGCAAGTAATGGAGCGGAGAGAAAGAGATAGTAGACGTGAAGGCAAGTGGGAAAGAAAACATTCTTGATGATTATTGCTGTTTGTATAGCAATAGCACTTAATGTGATGTATTATTATTAATAGAAATAGAAATAATTATTATGTAATCTTCCTCTCAGATTTTTATGAGCTTAAAACTTGTGTAATCACCCACAAACCCACTCTTATTAGATTTAAGAAAAATAGATATTTAGTTTATTTATTGATTTCAAAGTGTTCATCGTGGCTATACTTTTATACATAAAACTAAATAAGTATTAAAAAAATATAAATAAAGTATAAATTTTATTCTTTAATCCAATTGGATGATAAATATCTTACATACAGGAGAAAAGAGCTCTTATTTATTATTTTTTCTTTTTCGTGATCGGGGTGTTTGAGTCTGTTTATGTGTACCTTAATTAGCCTCAATTACTCTCCAAGGCTTTGAAGTTAATAGTCAAGTAAATTTTCAGTGGTCGTCCTATTAGTAATCGAGGTGAATTGAATTCAAAATCTCTTGAATAATATCTCTCTATTCAATCGTTCAGTTACCTAAGGGTGATTAAAAAAAGGCGCTTTTATTTGCTGCTATAATTAATCTACCAAAGTTTCTTGGGTTTTACTTTTAAATAGAGATGGCAATGGGTCCGATAGTTTCCGGTACTTGGCTCGGTCTGACCCAAAAGGGATGGGTTTTACCCGAGGTTGGCGGACTTGGGCTTGGGCTTAGGCTTGATTTTAAGGCCCGACCTCAGGTACGGGTTGGACATGGGCATATCTTTAGGCCCGGCCTGGCCCGTCCCCAAAAATTTTAATATTAATTTTACTAATTTACCCTTATACTATATATTTAATTACAATATTATTCTACATATATATATCCATTTTTCCCAAAGCCTAACCTTAATTTTAATCCCATATTGAAGGTTTAACATGTTAAAATTGCCTTTAAATGAGTTAGATGGTTTGGTTCAACTTATAAAAGTGGATTTCACTATAACATATTATGCACAGCTGAAAAGTTAGTATAATAAAATATTATGGAGTTTTAATTGCTCACTTATTGCTTAAATTATTTACGGAAATAGCTTCAATTAATATTTAAAAACTATTTTTAAAATTAAAAATATTAAAAAAATTTGAAATTTATTAATATTTAAAAATAAACATTATTAAAAAAGGCGAGCTTGGGTCGGACCTGCGGTTATAAAAAACCCGTCAGGTCGGGCTTGGGCTTTGCCTATCATACCCATAATGGGCTCGGGCCGGGCTTGGGCCTGTGTCATGAGGTTGGGCTTGGGCCTGGGCCAAGGGGTACCCAATCCCGGCCCGGCCTATTGCCATCACTACTTTTAAAGCACGCATGTACCCTTAACCTCAAGGAAGGTGGGTTAGTATTTCCAATACCTTTGGCTTTGGGGTCTTGGGCAATAAACTTAAACGTTGGGGAGGTTTCTGATAGTAACCAATCTATAAATTATAACATCTAGCAGATCCACAAGGGTTGGTTTTGTTGTTCCCAGTCATCCTCTTGTACTCCAAAACGCTATACGTTATTGCCGTTTAACTCTTCTTACCAGGTTACTCTGATTCTATTCCTTTCTTTTAATGGCATTGAGATTATAAATCTGAAACTAGTCTAAGGCCAAAGTGACTAATCAATTAGTTTCATTCTGATTCAGTGTAGTGGTAGTTACTGAGGCGAAGTGGTTGGCTAATTTCAGTGACCTCAATTTTAATTGCTGTTTCAAAACAAGGAGCAATTTCAATTGAGAATTGGGGAAGGTACATTCTGCGATTCTATTCAAATGTTTTATTTACTTATAGATTAAATTAGGCTTTGAATAATCTCTTTTAAGTAATGCGTGATGTGTGTATTTCTGGTTATTGTTAGGTTGGTACAATTAGTGGTTGAAGAGATTGGAATCGTGATTTTTTTTTTTTTTTTTTTTTTTTTTTTGTGACCTGTTGATTTGATTGGTTGAAAATAGTCATTGGAATCGCAATGTTAGGGTTTGTATGTCGATTGAAAGGATCAAAGGTTTCTCTTAGATTTTTGAATTATGCAACTTTGAGACTGAAATATTAGAGAGTGCATTTCTGGTGTTTGATGATTTGCGTTGTTAGGTTCAAGTGAGATGGTTTTATTTTATTTTATTTTTTAATTTTTATGGATTACGGTTGATTGCATTTTTCTAATTAGAGTATTGGAAGTGAGGTGCTGTTGGTGTTTTGTGGATTTTTTGAGTGGTTGGATGGCACTAAAGTTGCATTTTTTTTTTTTTTTTTTTTGTTTGATATATACTATAATAATATATCTCATTGTATTTGTACTTTTATGAATCAAAGTTTTTTAAAGTCACTCTAGCCTATAAATGAAAGAGAAAATAATTATACGTATATTGTTGATTGAATATACATAAAAAAAATTTGTAATGAAGATTGGAGATGGAGAGTGGTTTTCAGTGTTAACTGCCAAGCGCATCTCAAGTATCTATGTTTTTGTTTTATGTAATAGTTATTTAACCTTCATTAAAGTTACAATAAGGGTGGAGTTTAAATAACATTGGCGTTCTCTGAAGCTATAATGTTGTTTTCACTCTAATTGTCACCCCCGGACCAGGCAGGTCAATCATTGCTCTAGAAGCAGTCAGCTACCTGATGGTTCTGGGCCTCCTCAATGGTCCTTTTGGATTGTTGAGAGCTGTTGAGGATTTGCCATACTTAGCATTGCTTGCCATTCTAGTTGTTTTGGTTTACGACTTTTTGAAAATGGTTCCATTCCAGGACTTCTCCCAACCGACTGGTGCTTTGGTTGAGATAATGTGATATGAGCCAGACATTGCAATTCTATCTTCTTTCTGTGGTGTTGCTTTCTCAAGGAATTTAACTATGTTTTACTAGTGCCAAGTCACCTGCAAAAACACAACTGCTATGACTGAATGAGTTTTTTAAAATTTTTCATGTATTCATTGATGAATCTTCTCTATTTCTAAGCTAATTAGATAGGGAGAATTGGAACTACAATGGATGCATGTAATTATAATTGGTCTTGATTAGTTAAGTATGGTTTTCAAGTCTGGATTAAAGGCTTTCTTGAAGATTTGATGTTTGATTAAGGTTTACCATCAGTCTAGTTCACATATAAAGAATGTCTAAAATATAATTGACTTTGATGGTTTCTTCTTGGAATATCTATTGGTCATTCCTATGTTCTATTTTTTAGTGAGTTATGAAATTGCATTTTCTGGGTTAGGAAATTGGACGTACTGCAGTTTAAGATGTTGCCTTGGTTGGGTTTACCTCTCTCTTATCTTCTGTAGTTGTTTTCTAAGAGATTTGGAGATATTGTTTTACATGTGTTATTTTGACATGCCTCTTTGTTGTGCTTTGCCAGCAGTAAGTTCAAAGACATCGAATGAAAGATAGTTGTGATTTCACTCTCTAAAAGAGGCCAGGTGCTACCTTAGAAAGATTGAACAACAGTATTTAAAGACAATTTATATTGGCATGATAAGTTAGTTGAGGATTTAAAATATTCCTTTAAAAATATTAGGTCGGTTAGCACTAAGAGTTACTTTGGTCTCATGTCTTATTTTTTTTCTAGGTGTTTGTTTGGAATATGTTTAAATTTTGCTTTAACTATTATTTTAAAAAAAAAAAAAAAAAGGAAAAGAAAAGAAGTGAGTAATTTTATTCTGAAATACATGTAGGTTAGAATGGCAACAACAAGAAACCTAAAAATCAAGACAAGTACATGTAAGCGCATTGTGAAGGAACTTCATTCGTATGAGAAAGAGGTTGAGAGAGAAGCTGCTAAAACTGCAGATATGAAGGAGAAAGGAGCAGACCCTTATGACCTCAAGCAACAAGAAAATGTTCTTGCTGAATCAAGGATGATGATACCCGATTGTCGTAAGCGCCTTGAGGCTGCTTTAGCTGATCTCAAAGCTACTCTGGTATTTCATCAATCCTTTAATGTTACCCGTATTTTGCTCAAAGTTAGAGATTTCCATTGAGATTGTTGTAACATCTAACTTTACAAACCTGCACAACTCTTTTCCTTTAGTGGGGATAAATGACCTACTTAACTCTGTGTGATTGAGGCTAATTTTTCCCGGAAAAATATGTGTTAGAGGCTTACTGTTCTTTCTAGGCATAGATTCTTATATAGAGAGATGCAGCATTAGAAGGAATGAGTGGCAACTACAGATGTGGGCTTAACCTAGAAATGTGAACTAAAAGAGAAAATCTTTTTCTTGTAAAATTAAGTCACTTAAAGTTGTTTTTGATTGGAAATTATAGAATTTATACTAATAGTGAAAATGTTGTGAAGTTAAGCCACAGTTTGTGTCACACTTCTTCATGTGGATGAGGGGGGTAGTTTATTGATATACTTTAAGATGGAATAAATAAGTTAATAGCTCAAGTTGCAATACTTTAGCACTTTTAGCATATTTTAATCTCAGTGTAATTTCTCTTGAGCATCCTATTAAATCCACAGGCATACATCTGGGTGTTGACTATATTTCAAGGTGATGCGAGAGGCAATTAAAAGTGTGAAATTCAAATTAGTTTAAAACTATGGTATTTCGTACATGAATAGCAAGTTTGTATTGGATTGTTAAAATAGTTGGACTCTTCTTAATGATGATTATAGTATNATGATGATATTGAAAAATAGAAAAAAATTTGAATAATATAAATAAATAATATAAATAAATTATAAATATAAATTGAATGAGAAATTGATTGGAGATTTGGAGTTGAGAGATTGAGAGAATGAAAGAATGAGAGATTGATTGGTGTGAAAAAAATTAAAGGTTTTAGGGTTATTTATAGTGTAGTTGTAGGGGGGAAAATGAAAAAAAAAAAACTTATATTATATAAATGTAACCGTTGGTGTATTAACCGTTGGCAGTTATTTATAGTGTAGTTATAGGGGGGAAAATGAAAAAAAAAACTTATATTATATAAATGTAACCGTTGGTGTATTACCGTTGGCAGCCAACGGTTAATTTTTTTTTTTTTAATAAATTTTGTAAAATTTCATTTTAGTCCTATAATTTATACTTATTTTAGGGGGTTTAATGAATTTTACAAAGGACTAAAATGATAAAAGGTAAAAAAAGTCTGGGCCTCAGGCCTTGGAGGAGGGCCCAGTGGAGGGCCCGGGCCCTCCTCCTTAGGCCTGGACCCGTTTTGGGACCAGGCCTCCTAGGACCGATCCTAGGCCCAGTTTTTGGAGCTGGGCTTTTGGGCCCGGTCCCAAATGCCCAGCTCTAAATGCAAGTGAGGTAAAAAATCTCTTAGATCATATACAACCTTAAACCTAATTACTAGGTTTATCCTGTTAACCAAGTTTGGTTAAATTCAAGTTACATTAACCCTAGAACAAACACACTTTACACTTAAAACAAAAAAAAAAAAAAAATTGATGACATTGTTGGACCATACAATTGAGCAGGAAAAGACCTAGCAAACTTGAAAAAGATGACTATAAAACTTCTAATAAACGAGAAAGCAGTTTACGCTACCAAATGTCTGAGCATAAGCATAATTAAAGAATCCCAAATAGAGAACCAAAAAAAATTAAAAGATAATCTTTAACACTAAGTAGTAACATCCAAAACCTTCTCCTTCTATATAAGTCTAAAAAATCTCATAAATTCATAATTGTAAAGATGCTCACATCAAAAGCCAATTTCACATCCATGAGAAAAGATGATTCAGTTAATGTAGGTTATTTAAATCGAGAAATCTTGGGTGGGGCGACATATTACATAATTCATCATTCATACATTCGCTAATAAAATCTACCAGATATATATTCAGTTTAAAACACCAAGCATAGAGTGGTTAATTAAAGAAAAGAGAAAATAAACACATAAATGTGGATTTTTCATTGGACAGGGTACAGATAGCTAGATGCTCGTCCCAGCCAAGACTTTTTCTATGATCATAACATTTAAACTAAGATTGCAACTCATAAATCTGCCTTTCTAGAAAAATCCAGCAGAGAATTCCAGTAAAGCTTGAATGTCTCTAGCTAAAACAAAAAGGTAATGACTACAAAGCTTGTTTATGCGAGACAGTGAAGAACTACTAAGTTAAAAACAAAAAAGATCAAGGAAGAAAATGGACCAGCTGGTAAAATTAAACATAATCCATTCATATTAAAATTATCACTTGAATAACTGAGAAGCGGTCATTATCAGTATGCAATAATAAACTAATCTATCTTAAAACTTCCTCTCTCTTAATGAAACAAAAGTATTGCCTAATTGTCCCCACTAATGATATTGCTACAACAAGCTACTGAAGTTATAATCATGAGTTTCAATTATCAGCACATTTGACAAGTTAAGATCAAGATCTACTTTTCTCGTGCCTTCAATAACTAAGAAGATAAGCTTCATCGATGATGCTCATCCCTCAGAAAACACAACACGGTTTCAAGATTTCAAGATTTTATATTCTCTTCAACCAAGGTAAAACCATTAACTCAAAGCCCAAAATAAACTATTCTAGAACACAGAAGCAAGTCTTACCAATAATAAGGAATCAGAACACAAGGTTTTTAGCTTTGCAAGCTGAAAAGCTCTATTATTCCATCACTGCATAATTATCCACCATAATGCTGTCCTTAAATGTTTGTGGTGTTTATTTTTTAAACAATTAAACCCTTAATGGGTATAAAACCCATTAAAGCATTATCATCAACAGACAGAAACATGGACAGTCAAAATACATAAATAATAAGCTTCATTAACTCTTCAAGGTTACTCCTTAAAAAGGCAATGCATTTAAGATGGTTGCATAATTGGGTTTTCTCTAAATTCAACTATCCTTTCCTTTCAATTAAAGATATCTAATGTTCAATACAAAAATCTAGTGGCTTAATACAAAATGAATCTCCTTCACTTTAAACTAGTAAATAAATGAACTGATTTTTGAAATTTTGACATACAACCATGATAAAAAAAATCTTAATTTCAATTTGCACTTCTCTGGCTTCTCAATTATTCATTAAATTTAATAATTCAACAAATTCATAACAAGTTGTGAAAAAGTCAAGAATTGAATAAGAAACTCATGTGCAAACCAAAAGGCAAAAAGAACTAAAACGACCACAACTGATCCCACACAAAGTAATTAAAAACGAAACGAAATTTCTCAAAGTCAAAAGGGAAGTGAACTTATAAGTGGGGAAATGGGAAATCTTCTAAATAATCATAATAATGAAAATAATAATTCTGGGATGGCATGCGAAAAGCGAGCAAAGTTGAACATCATTTCATTTGATGGGTGTTTGGAAAGAAGAAGAGGATGATGATGAGAGAAAGAGGAGAGAGAAAAATATAAATGTGGGATTTCACGTAGACGTGAAGGATCACGAGAAAACAAACAATAGACGGAGAAAGTAAAGCAATTTTTTGATTTTATGGGAATAAATAATGAAAATAATTGAGAGGACGTGAGACAGCTGGAAACAACGCTGGTTGGTTGATATTAAGAGAAGATATCGCTTTCACATACATTTCTCTCTCACTTCTCCTTCTAACTGTCTCTCTCTTTCTTATCTATTCTACTCTTTTATTTTATTTTCATAATTCTATGACTTCTTTTTTAAATTCAATTAAAATAAATCTATTTTGAAAATAATCTAAGTTAGATATCGGTTTTTATTCTTCTTTAGTTTGAGATTGATTTGAAAAAATCATAGAAACAATTTATTTATTATTTTTCTTAAAACTATTGATTTAATTTGATATATATAAGCTTAAATTTTATGCTTGGATCCTAAGTATAAGCACACAACGATTTTCGAAAGTTATTGAAAAAGCTCATAGCGTTAACCTCGTGCAAGCTAGTTAATGAAGCAATGCAAGTAGACCTGGGCAAGGGACCGATCCTTGCGGGCCCAAGCCTGGGCCCGTTTGGGACTGGTCCTAAATGGACCAGTCTCTCATGGGCCTAGACCAGTCCCAGGCCATGAGAAAAACCAGGACCCAGACCAGGCCTTAGCCTGGTTGAGACTGGTCCCATAGACCCAGGACCGGTCCCATGGGGTTGGAAAATTTTATTTTCTCCCCTCAATTTTTTTTAATTTTGGGGGCAAAACGAAATTTTATAGGGGTTTTTAGTATTTTTTGGGGTTGATTAGTAAGTTTCTAAAAATTTAATTAATTTTAAAAAATAATAAATTAATAGTTAATTTTAATTTTTAACATAAATAATATTCACATTTCACAAATTCACGCTTCACAATAAAACAATTAAATAATTTTTTTATTAATTATTCATCTTCAATTCATCGTCACACTAGTTACATAATTCAAATCTGTATTCCTAAAGAGTTCGAGTAGTTGATCTTCAGGGTGCTATGTAGTCTTTATTCTGCATGAGTCCAATCCCGTAAACATGTTCACTTCAATCATCTCACGGTTAAAGAACATCTTCTGTCTTCAACAATCCGACCACTCGTTGAAAATGTTGACTTGGATGCAATTGTAGAAACCGACACAGATAAAATGTCACGTGCCATTTGGGATTAATGGGGAATTGACTTTCTTGTTGGTTCCACACATTAAAGAATATCATGTCAAGTTGCTCCTTCATCGTCATAAAGGTCAAGTCCACCTGTAGGTAGCGAGTTATCTCATTTGGTCTATGTATGTACGAGCTGGAGCTAGAGCTGGAGCTTCCGCTACGTCCCACATACGCCCACTTGCTCATCCTTGAGGGGGGGCTACATCAAGGTCCTGATCGCCTCTCCTAGATGTTCCACTCTACTTCCACTTCTACTTCCATTGTATTTGTTTCTCATATAAAGAGAAAGCCTATCCAATTTGTGTTTAAAGTCAGTCAAATAAACGTATAATCATGTCCTAAATAATGGCCTAACTCAGTAATTACACCGTTAACTACGGTAATTTAAACCTAGGATCTAGAAAAAGGCCTAATCCATATAAGAATGAAATATCTAACCAATATCTCTTATATTTTCTTCCATACTTGAAACAATTTCAAAAATGTCATGTCTATATTGATCAAAAGTTTTAGCAATTTGAACTAAAATATCTAACACTAAATTAGTAGTTGGATAATAAATACCACTTAATGTATTAGTAGCATCATAAAAATTTTAAGAAATGAATAAAAAGTTCACAACCGCCCAATCATCAAGTTGACAACTTCCTCTGGATAGTTTCTCCGTTGACGAAATCTGTAATTTGTTTCGCGGTTGGCAAAGCTTTTTCCAACATCAAGTAGGTAGATTCCAACGGAGAGCATGTCTGTACATAACTTCAAAGATCGAACCGGTGGGTCCTCTTGCTTACAATATTTGATATACTCCGCCATCTTTTATTGCTACCGCCGACGATAAATCCATAGCTCTACGCACCCTCTCAATCTTTGAATGTATAGCATCTAAACCTACTGCTTTAACTATCAAATTGATGATGTGACAAGCACATCTCTAGTGATAAAATTTACCTTCACCATCGGATCCAATTTCTTTTGAAATAAAGATATTGCCGCAGTGTTAGCAGCTGCATTATCAAGCGTTAGCGCTACAACTCTATCAGTTAATAAATATTCTTGCAAAACTTCAAGAATTGAAATAAATAGTTTCAACACTATGTTTTTTCATATGTGTTTAAAACCTATCAATTTTTGTTGTAAACCCCAATTATATCTAAGAATGTACTGTAACAGTTAAAATCGGTTTTTGATCTATAAGCCCATATGTCTGATGTAGGTGCAATATATATCCTAAAATTTGAAATTCGTTTTTAAGTTTATTATTTATTTTGTTATAAAGTTTTAGTATATCTCTTCTACTTGTATTTCTACTAACAGGGGTTATAGGCGGACAAAATGCAGTTTTAACCATATTAACAAAAAAAGGATTTTCAGATAAACAAATGGGAGAGTCCGTAGCAACTATATATCTTGCTATTTCCTCTCGTGCAACATGTGTATTGTATTGCCATGTTAGAGAGTTGAGGATTGTGGATTAAATTAAGTTGAGTTTGAATTTGTCTACCTGATCCGCTTGAAGATGCATTTATTTGGGGATGCTTCTTCTTTACGTGTCGTCGCATCGTCGAAGTCCCCTTCTCAGCCCCATAATGGTTCCACAAAATTACATATCCCACACATCTTTCTCTCTCCCCCCATTTGTCTTTGGCTGTTTGATTTGGTGAAGTATCGCCAGACATCGGACACGACCCTCTTTGATGGTCGGGGGGGTTGGGCTATGTCCGTGTCCGTTGACCGCAGCTCACTGTGTTTGGCTACACCTCGTCCCGACCGATGTGTGTTGGAATTACAGCTGCATCCTCTGGAGGAAATGGTGAAAATGGATTGAAGGCTTCAATTTCTTCGGTGATAACGTAAAAACTCATTTGGGAAGACATTATAAATTTAAGATGAAACTCTAATTGAAGAAATCTATCATGTATCGTAAATTGAAGTTAGTTTTTGTGTCAATTAACTGTACTGATATCATTAATGAGTCGACCAAATTTGGGAAGAAGAGAAGTAATCCATCCAGAATCAGAAAAGAAAAAAAAAAATCCTGTACACAATGCCAAATGTTACAACAATCATCATTTAGGATAAAATAGAGCCATTCGTTGTTCATGGAAATTAAACATTTCATTTCTACTTTCATAAGGAATGGTGAGACCGTCTCCTCAGCTTTCTCCGGAAAGGCCTGCATGCTTCAATGCTGAGATCAACTGCTGCTGCAAGTGCCATAAAGATGGCAGCATCCTCCACACATGTCACATGTCGCATCGCTAGTTGTACCATTGGCTTGCTGCTCTTACCTTCTCCTTGCACTCTACAGCTCATCACAAACCCACCAACAACTGGACCCAATCCAGAAAAATCTCCACTGCTTTGCGGACTTGGAATTGGAGTAGCAGCTGTCCGCATCTGTTTGTCAGTGTCGATAAAAAACTCTCCACCCTTCTCGGCACTTAAAAATATCTCAGACATGAGAACATCGCCAGCTTCCTGGACTTCCGAAAGGAGATGAAATCGGCAGCAAATGGAGTCTCTGATGCCACGCTCACGCCACGCTTCAAGCTTTCCCCATGGCTGCCAGCTCTCAGGCCTGCATGAATCAGGGCGAACAATCAACCAAGCTCCTGGGTTGGACCTAGCAACCCAATCACAACCTGTTGATGGAACAAAGGGAGTTGTTATGAATGCTGCCGCAACAGCCGAGCCAGAGAGGTCGTGTATCTTCACCTTCCATCCCTTTCTTTCCCTTCTTTCAGTCTCTATATCAGCACTGTCAGCAGAACCTGACCAGTAAATGCTCAACGGGTCCACCTGTGGCACCCTGCCATTCATTGCAACTACCAAAAGTTTCATTAACAACGAACTAATGCCTGGAAAAATAGCAGGTCATTCTATTTAAGTTCCATGACCAACAAAAAATATTTATCAAGAAATATTCCAAAACCACTTCTAACACATATACTCAGTCAAAGGAAAATATACTTTCAAAGATCTTGAAAGGATTGAATACCGTTAAAATCTGACAATCAAATGATTCTTAATACTATTTATTCTTCAAACCAAAAAAAAAAAAACTTAGAGCTGGCTGAATATTTGAAGAACTTAAAAAAAATAAATTATTTTATATTCAATAATATACTTTCATTTTTATTTTTAATAGTGCTTCTCATAAAATTCTAAAACTTCTTTTTTACTATTCTTATTTTTTACATGCGAACAAGAAAGTTTAATACTATTTAGAGGAGAGAGCTAGTTTGGAGCTTTTTCAAGAATAAATTTTGGGTAAAAAAGGACACATCACCTGTCTCGACTAAACTTGCAACTAAAAATTGGTTGCTTGATGGAACCTTGAAGCTGGACTATCTGAGGGCTCAACATTGTCACATCTTCAAACTGGAAGACATATCTTGGATCAGGATCCAGTTTCACTCTTAAATGAAGCTCTGCTCCTGGTTTTCCGCTCTCCTGCTTGTTTTTTCCAATACCTATCCACCCATTAAAAAGAATTATTGGTTTCCCTTCACCCCATTCGGGACCCACTTCCAATCTAAAAGTCCCAATCTGGTGTTTTTTGACGCCGACACCACAATGGAACCCTTTCCTCCCTGAGAAAACTACAATCTCCAAATATGCATGAGGGTTATAAAAACAGCCAGGTGTCAACAAGGCTTTCAGATCATTTTCTTCCAGATAAAAGCTCGAGGCAATGCTATGAATATCAGGTAGAGCTTCAGGTGAGGATACTAATGGAACTGATGTGGTCTGTACTGGGAAACCCCGAAGTCGTATCTCACACAAACATGGGGAAGTAAATGCATGGATTTCAGATTTGGCAGAATTCAAAGTTGATCCAGGAATCCTCAGCCCAAGTGAGCCTATTGACAACCTTATGAAAGCCTGAGGATCCATTCTTGTCACAAATCTCTCCCCATTGGATCAAAAGCCCTATGCTTGGACAGCTAAAGAACCTTAGCAAGTTGTAAGAAAAAAATCATAATTAGACCATGAACAACCTGACAAACAATCAGTAAAAGAGATGCCAGTAGGAGAATAATGTCAATGCTCCTTTTCCTATGATTTTATCCATCTAACTATGATTGCATAGTTAATGTTTTTCAACTTGCAATATTGCTATAAATAGTGACAAAGGTGATGAACTGAATAGAGGGGTAAATAAAACAGATTAAACTTGATTAAAAAACCATTTCGATGAGTTTAGGGTCTACGGTCTAGTCTCTATATGGCATTCTCTCTAAATATCTTCTAGTTAAATAATAGACTCAGCAGATATACAAAGTAAACAGGTAAAGTAGAACAGACAAGTTTTATCACAGTATCCAATCCAGCCTAAGCAACACAGAAGAAAGAAAGGAGTTGACATTTTCGGTCAGTTACGCTACCAAATGTCTGAGCATAAGCTATAATTAAAGAATCCCAAATAGAGAACCCAAAAAGAAATTAAAAGATAATGCTTTAACACTAAGTAAGTAACATCCAAAACCTTCTCCTTTCTTATATAAAGTCTTAAAAAATCTCATAAATTCATAATTGTAAAGATGCTCATATCAAAAGCCAATTTCACATCCATGAGAAAAGATGATTCAGTTAATGTTAGGTTATTTAAATCGAGAAATCTTGGGTGGGGCAGACATATTACATCATTCATCATTCATACATTCGTCTAATAAAATCTTACCAGATATATATTCAGTTTAAAACTACCAAGCATAAGAGTGGTTAATTAAAGAAAAGAGAAGATAAACACATAAATGTGGATTTTTCATTGGACAGGGTACAGATAGCTAGGATGCTCGTCCCAGCCAAGACTTTTTCTATGATCATAACATTTAAACTAAGATTGCAACTCATGAAATCTGCCTTTCTAGAAAAATCCAGCAGAGAATTCCAGTAAAGCTTGGATGTCTCTAGCTAAAACAAAAAAGGTAATGACTACAAAGCTTGTTTATGCTGAGACAGTGAAGAACTACTAAGTTAAAAACAAAAAATGATCAAGGAAGAAAATGGAGCCAGCTGGTAAAATTAAACATAATCCATTCATATTAAAAATTATCACTTGAATAACTGAGAAGCGGTCATTATCAGTATGCAATAATAAACTAATCTATCTTAAAATACTTCCTCTCTTCCTTAATGAAACAAAAGTATTAGCCTAATTGTCCCCACATAATGATATTGCTACAACAAACTACTAAAGTTATAATCATGAGTTTCAGATTTATCAGCACATTTGACAAGTTTAAGATCAAGATCTACTTTTCTCTGTGCCTTCAATATACTAAGAAAGATAATAAGCTTCATCGATGATGCTCATCCCTCAGAAAACTACAACACAGTTTCAAGAGTTTCAAAATTTTATATTCTCTTCAACCAAGGTAAAACCATTAACTCAAAGCCCAAAATAAACTATTCTAAGAACACAGAAGCAAGTCTTACCAATAATAAGGAATTCAGAACACAAGGTTTTCTAGCTTTGCAAGCTGAAAAGCTCTATATTCCATCACTGCATAATATATCCAAAGCCATAATGCTCTCCTTAAATGTTTGTGGGTGGTTTATTTTTTAAACAATTAAACCCTTAATGGGTATAAAACCCATTAAAGCATTATCATCAACAGACAGAATATGGACAGTCAAAATACACTAAATAATAAAGCTTCATTAACTCTTCAAGGGTTACTCCTTAAAAAGGAAATGCATTTAAGATGGTTGCATAATTGGGTTATTCTCATAAATTCATACTATCCTTTCCTTTCAATTAAAGATATCTAATGTTACAATACAAAAATCTAGTGGCTTATAATACAAAATGAATCTCCTTCACTTTAAACTAGTAAATAAATGAACTGATTTTTGAAATTTTGACATACTACCATGATTAAAAAAAATCTTAAATTTCAATTTGCACTTCTCTGGCTTCTCAATTATTCATTAAATTTATAAATTTTCAACAAATTCATAACAAGTATGTGAAAAAGTCAAGAATTGAATTAAGAAACTCATGTGCAAACCAAAAGGCAAAAAGAACTAAAACGACCACAACTGATCCCAAACACAAAGTAATTAAAAACAGAAACGAAATTTCTCAAAGTCAAAAGAGGGAAGGTGAACTTACTAAGTGGGGAAATGGGAAATCTTCTAAATAATCATAATAATGAAAATAATAATTCTGGGATGGGCATGCGAAAAGCGAGCAAAGTTGAACATCATTTCATTTGATGGGGTGTTTGAGAAAGAAGAAGAGGATGATGATGATGATGGAAATAAGAGGGAGAGAGAGAGAAAATATAAATAAATGTGGGATTTCACGTAGACTGTGAACGGATCACGAGAAAACAAAGCAATAGACGGAGAAAGTAAAGCAATTTTTCTGATTTTATGGGAATTAAATAATGAAAATAATTGAGAGGACGTGAAGACAGCTGGAAACAACGCTGGTTGGTTGATATTAAGAGAAGATATCGCTTTCACATACATATCTCTCTCACTTCTCCCTTCTAACTGTCTCTCTCTTTCTATATTCTATTCTACTCTTTTATTTTATTTTCATAATCTATGACTTCTTTTTTAAATTCAATTAAAATAAATCTATTTTTGAAAATAATCTAAAGTTAGATATATCGTGTTTCTTATTCTCTCCTTTAGTTTGAGAATTGATTTGAAAAAATCATAGAAACAATTTTATTTATTATTTTTCTTAAAACTATTGATTTAATTTGTATATATATAAGCTTAAATTTATATGCTTGGATACCTAAGTATCAAGCGACACAACGATTTTCGAAAGTTATTGAAAAAGCTCATAGCGTTAAACCTCGTGCAAGCTAGTTAATGAAAGTCAATGCAAGTAGACCTGGGCAAGGGACCGATCCCTTGCGGGCCCAAGCCTGGGCCCGTTTGGGACTGGTCCTAAATGGGACCAGTCTCTCATGGGCCTAGGACCAGTCCCAGGCCCATGAGAAAAACCAGGACCCAGACCAGGCCTTAGGCCTGGTTGAGACTGGTCCCATAGACCCAGGACCGGTCCCATGGGGTTTGGAAAATTTTATTTTCTCCCCTCAATTTTTTTTATATTTTGGGGGCAAAACGAAATTTTATAGGGGGTTTTTAGTATTTTTTAGGGGTTGATTAGTAAGTTTCTAAAAATTTAATTAATTTTAAAAAATAATAAATTAATAGTTAATTTTAATTTTTAACATAAATATAATATTCACATTTCACACATTCACGCTTCACAAATAAACAATTAAATAATTTTTTTATTAAATTATTCATCTTCATTTTCATNATATATATATATAGTCCATATATGGATTTTTATGCATTATGAGCTATAAAAATCCAAAATGCACTATCAAGTGTGCATAACCAAAAAAAAAGTATACACCCACATTTTCATCACTAGCTATCTATCTTTGCATAACTAACAAAAAAATGCCCATCTCATGTACACCATCTAACAGATATATGCAAACAATCCTAAAAAGATGGTCCTACCCCCATGTCAAAATATCTATTGCCCATACAACAAAAAACTAACCATCAATATCTAGAGCATCTCAAGTGTCACCAGTTAAGGTTTTTGAAATAGCTGTAGCTGATGAGGACGAGTCTTTAACAGTTGGAGATGGCGATGGCTGTCAAGTTGGAGCTTTATCAGATTGTTGTAGCTCAAGGGCTATAGTTAGCTGCTTCATCATCTCCAACAGGACAAATTGTTGTTGTTCAAGGCTTTTTATTTTCTGTTTTTGTTGATCAACTAAGACGAGTTGCTCTTCCAATTGTTTAATCTTATTTTCTTGTTGTTGCACTATGCACCTTAACTCTGCTTCTGCTGCAGTATCATGATGCTCAGTGTGTGAAAATGCAAAATTTTGGTTAAATTCGAAAGCTTTACCCAAAACTTCCTCACATATTTTTGCTTCTGTTTTTTCACTTTCCCCTGCTTGTGTTTCATCTTGCAGCTCTATCATTTTTTCCTACCATAAATTCAATGCATAATCAATAAGTTATGAAAGAATTGTATAGGACCAATAATTGAAAGATGATCAACTTACATATAGCTCTCTTGCTTGTTTATTAACCCACCCTTTCTCGGCGCTCCAACGAGTATCATGAAATAATTGTATAGGACCGACAGATTCCCCAAGTTGGTTTGCCTTAACAGTTCATATGATCATTGACCATAAATTGAAATAAAATTAGTAAACAGGAAAACAAAGTTGTATATTTGTATAGGTAAATAATATTAAATACCTTTTCCTTTTTGTGTCGAATAAAGTTCTTGGAACCACCGCAGTGGTTACACATCATCTTCGACCGGTTCTCAGAATAAGTTTTTGACCGTGCCTAACACCACAAAATTTAATATTAAAATACAATACATATATAATAACATTAAAAGCCATGTTGACCTTACCTGAAACTTTTCATTAGAAGAAAAGGTCACAAAGATATATCCAATCATCAGGATTTTTAATTTCTTCAGGTCTATTATGTAGTGCTTCCTCCTTAGTAGCATATGCTTTGAATTTCTTGTGTAGGGCATTCCAAAATCTGTTAAATCTCTTACACAGTTTGTGCTTCATACATTTGAGTACATGGGCTCTGTGGCATCAATGTCAAACTTGGTCTAAATTCAGCAATAATGTATATGCATTAAACTTATATGGGTATTATATATTATTTACATAAGGAAGTATGACAATATGGATAACGATATGAAAGACATTACCGTGATACGAGCAATCATTTGTTTTTCCACATCGTATGAAACTTTCTTCCAAGTAAGCACTCTAATGGGGGCATAGTTCCTCGCAACTATTCCTACCTCAGTACTCAACTTTGATGCATTTACTCCAGTAGGTACTACATCTTCTTTTTGAAAGTCTACATGCAACTTCGACTTCGCTGTTTGTATGAGTCTTTCACATCCAACTCCTCTAGTCTTCCCTCTCACGTTCTTTGCCACAATCTTGCCTACAAAATCAAAATAATGCATCATTAGTAAATAATATGTTATCACAAAGACTATTTACATGTTGGTAAAGTAAATTGAATTCTTAAATTTTAAACAAACATTGGAGACAATATCTAAAATCCAAGTATATATTTCAGTATGCTTATGTTAACCAATATCATAACTTTACCAGTGTTTGCAGTAATTTCAGGAGTCAGTTCAGCACTCTGATTCATTCGAACAACCTTTGCACGTCTAGCTAGGGTCCTTCTTGTACCAGGAGCCATCTTCGGAATATGCAAACATCAACATAAGAGAAAAGATACTGAATTGTGTGGCCAATGTGCAAAGCCAAATTGGTTTTTTCATTCTTTCATTGCTTTATGAGAGTTTGTTGTTAGTAACTATTGATTCAGTTTCATTTTCAGTTTTTAAATTTTAGAATTGAATCTGTAAAGTCTCTTGATAAATAAGCCTAATAATATACATCGCATAAATAAATTGACACGGTACCTTTTGACAGCTTATCAACTCGAATTTCAATTAAGAACACAATTACATAAACAGAAACCATCAAAGAGAATTAAAACCCATCAAACAGAAAAATTTCAGCGTTCTAACAAGGAAAAGAAAAATAAAAAGGAACCTTTAATAACCAAAAAGTAAGACAAGAATATTTTGAATCTTTCAATTCTTTTTTACCTTTATATGTTGAAAAATAGATAACGTGGTTTAGAATATGACTATTTCATCTACTTTGGTATCTTTGTAGCATAAAAAAAGAATCATCAACAAGATGCTCAAGCTTGAAAAAAAGAATATAGAGAAAGAGAAGCTATTTAAATGAATGAAAGCAAAGCAGAGATATCGAATCAATAACAGAAATAAAATACTTGAAAAAAAAGGGGTCTAAACTCACCTCTGTACACTTGGACTGTTGAGTAATAATCAGTAATATGAATGAAAGCAAAGCAGAAATACCGAATCAATAATAATCAGTACACTATTACACTATTACCAAAATCCATCTCAACCTGGCTCCAACCAGCTTCTTTTACTAATTGTTTATGCCTCTTTCCACTTGCCCACGGATGTATACAAATTTGCCATTAAAACATAATTGTCGGTACTTAGAGGGCTTAAATTTATCAACTTTCTAGCTGCAAGTTTTCCCAGCTCAATGTTGCTATGTTTCCTGCATGCATTAAGTAATGGAGCCCATACTTGAGCTTGTACTTGGACAGGCATCTCTTGGATTGTTTTCAAAGCCAAATCAAACTAATCAGGTGTGCCAAGAAGATCTACCAAGCATACATAATGCTGTATGCTGGGTTCTATTCCATACTCATTCTGCATACTTCGAAAATACCTTAATCCATCTTCTACCAATCCGGAATGGTTGCACACCGATAATAAGCTTGTGTAAACCACATAATCTGGCTTTATACCTTCTACTTGTTGCATCTTATGAAAGAGACTAAAAGCCTCATCTCCCATCCCATGAATGGCATAGCCATTTATCATAGCACCCCAAATAGCCAAGTCTTTATCTGACACCCTCTCAAACACTTCTTCTGCCTTGTTTATGCTCCCACATTTGGAGAACATATGTATCAAAGAGGTCAGAACTTGCCTACTAGACTCTAGCTCGTTTACCAAAATGTACTCTTCAATCTCCTTTCCCATGGCAAGTGATCCTAAATCAGCACAAGCTGAAAGTATTGTAGCCATGATTGCTTCATTGGGTCTAACGGATGTCTTCAACAACCTTTTAAGATGATTCAATGCCCCACAGGATAACCCAACTGAGACATCCTCCAATCATGGATGTCCACAAGAACACAATTTCTTCCTGTACCATATCAAATGCTCTTTGCGAAGACCAATAATGAGAATGCAAAATGTCATATTTACCCCTTAATGTTAGTTTTTTATACTTATTTGTTGCCAAATACTCATTATTATTCTATTTGATTTAGGATGCAAATGGAGGCGTTAAATGCAAAACGAAACTAATTAGGTGAATTCGGACAGTTTCGACATTGTTCGTAATATTGGGCATAACTTCTATCCTAGCTCCGATTGAGATGATTCAAAATGCTATGGACTAGAAGAAAGAGATTACAATTTCATGTTTTGAGTTTGGAGAGTACTCGCTGCATCAAGGTTTTAATGGGCTTGAATTTGACACATTGTACTGCTAACGTTCTGGAACATTCTGCCTTATCATGCAATTCAAAAATGCAGTTTATTATTGAAAGTTTTGAAGATCTGGTCCACGAAAGTTATAGCAGGAAACACCAATTTCCTAGTTATATTATGACTTTATTTTATTTTTAATTAATCAGATTTGGATAAATGTTATTTTAGGATAAAGCTTAGAATATTTTAGGAGATTGAGTAGAATTCAA